CTTACGTACTTTCGAACTGCTAGGTTGGCAGAAGCTGGGACAAGTCACGGGAGCTTACTCTGTTACATGGCGCTAGGGATTTGAACTGCCAAACTGCTGACTTTTCTGATCGACAAGCTCAGCGTCTTAGCCACTGAGGCACTGCATCGCTCTCTTAACTGGGACATAGTTGCAATCAACTATGCAATCAAGGTAGCTTACAAGGACATAAATACACAATATAAAAGAAATAATAAGAAAAAAGAAAAGATAAAATAATACCCCCCCCACACACACACACACACTCCATCGACAACAGACATTCATACCAGCCATTTAATGGGCTCCATCCCACTCTGGGTTCCCCAGGCCTGTATACTGAGAGCTTATGCACTAGAGACAAATTCCCTGTGTGTCCAATCACACATGGCCAATAAAGAAAATTCTTTATGCTGTTTTATTCTAAAACTCCCCTCGCCCTTCATCAAGCCCCACTTCTATCATCACCAGCATAGACCAGCTCACCTTATCCTTAATGAATGTGCTACCACAGCTTCAGAGCTTAAAGTCAGCTGTCCTTGGCGAGGAAGCTGTTTAATTTTTCCAACCTCTCCCCTCCCTGCCGGTCCCTGGAGGGGGAAAAAAAAACCTGGAGGAGAGAATTTCAAAGCAGAAATCCCCAGCTGTCTACCACTGGCCAGGGCCGATTTCAATTAATCTGTTAATATATCTTTCTCAAGGCTGCTTTTGGCCTGGGTACAAAAGCAACATCTGCTGGAGTGGTCCTTCTGATTACAGATCCCCCCCATCAGGAGGTGGCAATTGATCTTCTTCTCTTATCAGGTTTTGGGGCTTAGTCAGAGGCATCCTGGAGTATCCCTTTAATAATGGACTCAGCGGAGCGGAAGCCAATCAAATGCAGCCTTCCATACACCAACTTCTGTTCTGCTATCTCACGGTTTGGGATGGAAACCGTTAATCCTGGTCCATCCCCCTAAACACAGCAGATGATCACCAAAGGGAACTGCAGTATGTTTGATTAAACCAGATTTTGCCTATGAAAACTGGTTAATTCTGGTAACAATAGCGAAGAATGAAACCTAATGGGACTGGCGTTTTGTAGGGGTTGGGAAAAGTGAAGTGAACAAACTGCTTCTGGGTGTTGGAAGGATGGCCCTTAAAAACAACATCGGGGTCAATATCTCATCTCATCTCACAAGCAAAGCCCATCACTGTGAATGTTCTAGGACAGTGATGGTGAACCTTTTTTGGCTCCCGTGACAAAAGCGGGGGGAGCACAGGGGGGGGTCGTGCGCGGGCATGCCGCACCCATAATGCTATGCACATGACACCACCACCCCCGCTTTTGGCGTGGTTTTTTTGCTTTCTCCATCTCTAGAGGCTTTCTAAGAGCCTGGGAAGGACGAAAACAGTCTCCCACACCCACTCTGGACGCCCTCCAGAGACCTCAGGAGCTTCCCTGAAGCCTCCAGAGAGCGAAAAAGATACCTACAGGGAACCCAGAGGTTCGGGAACAGACTTCCAGTTTGTCCGTAGGTACATTTTCCCCCCTCCGGAGCCTTCAGGGAAGCCTCCTGAAGGCTCCAGAGGGCGAAAAACGACCCTACGGCCAAACCAGAAGTCCATTCCCGAATGTCCACATGCATGCGCGCTGGCCAGCTGACAGGGCAACGCCTCGCATGTCCTGACAAATGGCTACGCGTGCCACAGGTTCGCCATCACAGTCCTAGGAGAACCTCACCCGGCTATTATGAGAAACCCGATACTGGAATCAATGTCGAGTCTCAGGTC